CATCCTACTGGAGGCTAGAATGCCAACTTTGAGGAAAGTCTTGCTGTCTCCCCCATAATTACATAATACCATAACAGGTTGATATTTATATACAAACATCCTACTGGAGGCTAGAATGCCAACTTTGAGGAAAGTCTTGCTGTCTCCCCCATAATTACATAATACCATAACAGGTTGATATTTATATACAAACATCCTACTGGAGGCTAGAATGCCAACTTTGAGGAAAGTCTTGCTGTCTCCCCCATAATTACACAATACCATAACAGGTTGATATTTATATCCAAACATCTTACTGGAGGCTAGAATGCCAACTTTGAGGAAAGTCTTGCTGTCTCCCTCATTGATATATAGTACTTTAATCATTGTTATTTCTTCTAAATGTAACAGTAAGCAACCACTTTCTCACTTCTGGCTGCAGAAAGTGAAAGGTTGTAAAGATGTGGGATGTTGTGGGCTTTCTAAATGGTCCTTGAGCATCTGCTCCTTCTTTTTTTTTTTCTAAAACATGTCAGGCCGGCGAAATTGAGATTAAACCGGGTAGACGCGGTAACCCAAACACAATTACTTCCAAGGGTACCTCAAAGAACCAGGGCACATTACTAGAAGACTGGGGGTTAAAAGAAACAAATACATTCTGAAGTTGAAGCACCATCGTCTATAATCGTCATCTGCAACATGAGTATATAAGGTGTGATTCCAACAAACACACCTCTTGTTGTTGACAAGGTGAGAATTCAAGCATTTAAAGGTTTAAATTGAGAAGAAGTAGAAGTTCACACTTCTGCTATCTATATAGAAGTGTGAATTTCATAACAAAATGAAGACTTATGTGCCAGTTTTAAGAGGAGACTGGTTATTTTGCCACGTGACAACCTCTCCTGCCCTTTGTATTTCCTGACAATCAAAGTTTATCAAAGTTTGAGAATAAGTAAAAGTTCACACTTCTGCTATCTATATAAATGTGTGAATTTCACAACAAAATGAATATAATGTATATAAGGTATATAAGACCACTGATCGTTTGAGTATTTTAATATATTTACTTCTAATATGCATATAGAGGTGTGAATTTCATAACAGAACGGAGACTTAAAAATAACAAGTGTTAACAAATTCACTGACATTAAGGTAGTTCTATAGAATTTAATGAACGTAATTTTAATAGACTGTAACTCGTTAAAACGTTCAGGATTATTTAAACAAACTACAGAATCTTCGTCACAAACGACATGGAATAGAAGAATAGCGTAATCTTTACACAACATATCCAAAACCTTAGATTAAGTATAGCTACATTTCATTTTGTGGAGAAGAAAAAATAAAAACGCAACTAAAACAAATACCCAACACCGGGGCACAAACCATAAGGTGGGTAATTATGTAATGAGCCCTGGTTCTTTGAGGTACCCTTGTAATGTGCCCTGGTTCTTTGAGGTACCCTTGAATTTGGACTATTATTATCGTTAATACAAGCAACTACCATAACTTGATACACACTGAATAATAGAATTAAAGGTAAAATGTATCTTAAGAGGTAGAGGTATCTGGAAAAAGTGGGATTAACACGATAGTGTGGATATACTCTTTGTCAAATCTCACATATCGAATAAATCTAAATATAATTTAATATTAATAACAGATGTGTAGGTTTAAACTTTCAATATCTTTTCTACCCTTCACTAACTATAGCCAGTTGTAGGTCAATAATTAGTGTGTATGACCATAATATAAAGTAGAATTAGTAACTGGCAATCAGGATAGATACTTTTAAGTGATGGGTTAAAATCTAACTGTAATAACTGGTAAAAATATATAGTTTTAATTCGGTGAATTCTGAAATAAGTTTCTTATTACTCGCGTAAACCATAAACTCTGAGGTAACAAGAAACTAACAGTTAACCAGTGTTGGAACGGTTCTGTTTCTAAGTTACGAACACAATGCAAACAGTACACGCAAGTGATTACCATGAAACTCTTGTATAAAACTAACAGAGTAATTTAGTACAATACACTATACAACAAAAGTATTAATGAAACAATGAATTACACTAATGACTTTATATAATTATCTAAGTGTGTTATCAGGTTTGTTTCTAGTTAGTACATCAGGAGATTTTGAACATAATACCTTTGGGAATTTCGCACAGCGTCCAACCCTTGCTACTCGGATCGGCTATCTCCCACTTGTAGCCGTCTTCACCGTTCATTCTGACTTTTCCGTGTTCTACTGTTTGTGGTTGGGACTCACGCCAAAGATTACTGAAAGCTGATGAATTTACTGTCTCTTCTTGAGAGAGACCAAGCCACACATAAGAGTTATTAGTTATCGTCCTGTTTGCCAAGTCCATGAGGAACATCGCTGTTTCTTCGTCTGGCGGTTTAGCTGGTGTCATTCCATTACGTTTACATGAGGACTGTGAATACTGATACCACGATACTAAATCATCTCCTTCAGTTTTGATGTTGTAGCATGTAGTGTTGGTACAGTCCAAAGCTGCAATACAAACAATTGGGGGAAAAGAAATAAGTTCAGAGCATTGATGTAATGTTTTCAGATAAGTATTTTAAGAATTATTATAAACACCAGAGGGATTTGAATACGGAAAAATTAATTTTGTCAAGCGTTTTATCAATCATTATATTTAAAAGTGTAGTTATTTAGAGTATGGAATTTAAAACGTTCGTAAGTATTTTTAACGTTCAAATATTACTGTAAGGCTCGCCCCCCAGTGGCACAGCGGTATGTCTGCGGACTTACAACGCTAGAAACCGGGTTTCGATACCCGTGGTGGGCAGAGCACAGATAGCCCATTATGTAGCTTTGTGCTTAATTCCAAACAAACTGTAAGGCTCTTTTGTTGTTTCTTTTACTTTAAGAAAATATTATCAGAAAATACTAATCTTTGGTTTGTTTGTTTGTTGTTAAACACAAAGCCTCATAATGGGCAATCTGTACTGTGCCCACCAGGAGAATCAAAACCCGGTTTTTGGTTATGTGAGGCCTCAGCCTTCCAGCTGAGACACTGGATGTGGGGGGGGGTGTAAATAGCCTAAGATCTCTCGTCTAACTCAAAGAATGTTATACAACAATGTGTATTTACGTTGTAATCAGCTTCGCTGTATAGTAGTAACCCTTTTTTTTAGTCTCTCATAAAGATAAGATTCTTCAAATAAAACGATCAACTACTCGAACCAGTAACATCTCTTATTAATATCTTAAGAGTCAGTAGATTTTATCAGTTGTATGCAGGAAATGACTCTTTATTAAATTAGGCCTCACAGTATGTCTTAGAGATTATAACGCGAAAACTTGGGTTTCAATATCCGCAGTGGGAAAAGCACTAACTCATTGTGTAGGTTTGTGACTAGAAACAAACATAACCGTTAAATTAGAGCACTCAGTACCGCAACACTTAGAAAATGCAACAACTGTTCTTATTCATGGGTAGAAATTAGTTTACTGTCTATTTAAACCATGCTAAATATTTATATTTGTTTTTGAGGACAGAAAGACCTACCTTCGAAACGTTCTCTGATAACTTCATCGCTATCTTCCGGCGCCCCATCTGCCCCATATACGAGCGGGCACAATAGTAACTATAGAAAAATTATGAAAAATTACAAGAATTAGATATTTCTAGAAATTGTATGTATATGTGTGCAGTGGTTTTTGAAAAAAGAAATTAAATTATTTTAAATAAATGTTCAGGTAATTATCACATTAATTAAGTTACGCTTATCAAAATCATTTAATTATTTGGATCTGAAGCCTACCTATCAAATTCTGTATATTTATGTACACATCTAGTCTGTTGGTTTTCTTTTCAACAATCTTATCACACGTCCTTTTGTTTAGTTATATAAAGTATATTTTATTTCTAAGTGATTTTACTTGTTGATTGAAACATATGGCATTATCAAACAACAAGGGTTTTTTTCGGAAAATTTGTCGTGCTTGAAAGAGGTTTAAAACACATTTAGTACTTATCATGATATTTAATTATCATTGCAAAGTAATAACTAATGATTAATTTTAATGTAATTACAAGTAAACTACACCATTAAAATAGTATTACTCTCAGAAACAGTATAGTTCAAACTAACTCTTACCTGGGGCTGAATTCTCACACAGGGGATACTGTAGTTCAAACTAACTCTTACCTGGGGCTGGACTCTCACACAGGGAATACTGTAGTTCAAGCTAACTCTTACCTGGGGCTGGACTCTCACACAGGGAATACTGTAGTTCAAGCTAACTCTTACCTGGGGCTGGACCATCGCACAGAGGATAATGTAGTTCAAACTAGACTTTCACACAGAGAATACTGTAGCTCAAACTAACTCTTACCTGGAACTGGACCCATGCACAGAGGATAATGTAGTTCAAACTAGACTTTCACACAGAGGATACTGTAGCTCAAACTAACTCTTACCTGGAACTGGACCCATGCACAGAGGATATTGAAACTTTTCTGCACAGTATCCTGGGTAAAGTTCACCTGATTTTAACATAACACACAACTGGTAGGCGTTAAAACCTCCTTCCCCGAAAGGCCACTCATCACGATTACCGATTACAATTTGGTTTATGTCCATTAGACTTGTATCGTTCAAATAAATCCCAGTCCTGATCTGCAAAGGACACTTAGAAAAAAACTCAGCCAACTGTTTAGCCATTTCAGGGGTTTTTGGGACAGCGATCTTTTCCCCTGCAAGTTCACAGAATTTGTGAACGGCGTTATCACCCTGGATTCTTGTTGGATACAGGGTATAACAGGTGTCGTTAATGCAGTACGAAAGTTTGGCTATGAAAAACAAAAGGTAGGAAAATACTAAACAGATAATATTATTGTTAAGTACATTATAAGAAGTTTGTTTTAATATTTATAAGACAAATTCACCAATGAACACATTCTTTTTAATTTGTCCATCTGGGAATCCAAATAAGAGATGTGTAAAAATATAATTTCACATATACGTTTTGTCTCCTGCAAGCTATCTGCAGTATAGTTAGCTTTTTATGACAAATTTAGATTTGCAATAAAACGAATAAACAAAAACCTGACTGTTTAACCCAAGTGCTCATAAGGAACCGTTCAGGTTTTCGATTAGTGCTACCTTCCTATAGTCTTGTACGAAGTTCAATAAATATTAACAACCCTGCCCTCTAGAGAGTTAAATCAGACGTGCTTTTTTATGTTGTTATATATTTTTTAATTTACAGAAAATAAATCGTTAATTATGTGGGTTCTAACAATAATAAATTACAAATTGGACCCTTTATTCTCCTGAAAAAGAATAGTTAACTATTCGAAAGCGCTCGAGTTTTGGGTCTCTTTGAAAAGATTACAACTTTTGTAGATGATCTTGTGTGCTAACTACTTAACCAGGATTTAAAAAATTGGACCGTTATGTCTTTTTGTCAATATTCTGTTACTACCTAGATTTTTCTTTTTAAAATATAATTTCTAAGTTGATGTTTGTAGTGAGGTGTATACCCCAATATTTGCAAATACCGGTTTATTTAATCTAAGCCAAATAATTAATACGGTTTTCTATTGATCTTGTTTTTTATTACGAATAACAATTTTATTATTTGCAATTATAAATAAATTGATTTAAGAGAAAAACTATTTTTTTACCGTGCGGTAAAAATACTCTACAAACTAAATAAAAGATGGCGTCACCAAATTGTGTTCTGTTATGCTTGTTTGTTTGTTTTTGAATTTCGCGCAAAGCTACACGAGGGCTATCTGCGCTAGCCGTCCCTAATTTAGCAGTGTAAGACTAGAGGGAAGGCAGCTAGTCATCACCACCCACCGCCAACTCTTGGGCTACTCTTTTAGTTCTGTTATGCAACCATTCTGTATTGAAATAATATGTGTTTTAGAAAATTACAACTAAACTGATATTGATGATATTCAATAAGAAAGTAATATTATCAAAGTTAGGGTTAAGATACACAATTAAAACTTTAAGTGAAACTAAAACCAAAGAGATGTGCTTGATTAAAAACTGGTATTACGATACTTTAGCTGTTTGAAACTTGATGGTTCCTTGACCAAACAAAATAGTGTTTGAAGATAATTAAGATTAAAACACGAAAATGTTCCACGAAAAAGCATAAATATTCATTCATAATAAATAAATAAAACAGATATTCATGACCATATAAAATAATGATTTTTAAAATGCTTTTATTTAATATTAAAAGTTCACAAATAATTTTCCGCCACCAGAGAAGAAGAATAGATCTCTACCACATCTTTAAACCATCTTTTTTTAGTTCAGTTGATATTTTATTATCTCCAGACGAACCTATGAAGGCTGTAGTTTAGTGATTACATTATTGGCATGCATAATACACTATAAAATATAAGTAGATTGAAAAACGAAACGTGTTTTCACTGCACATGATATAAGATGGCTTTTATTATAACATTTTGTAATATTACATCAAAACATTAATATTAATCTTTAAATTTTATAATTTAAACATTAAACATGCTACATTGGCCGGGAAATATTATCATTAAATTAGATGACGAAAAAAAATAATTTTTAATACCCAAATAAAATATGTTTACTGTTAACAACACTTTGCTTCTATGCCATTTCCAACAAATAAGACTAAAATTTCTTTGTAAAATAATTTCTTCAAATTTCATGAACCACCGTTTTTTGTTTTTTTTTGAACTTTATTGTTATAATGATCCTAAAGTATAGAAAATTATAATTCACCGCTCTAATGTCTTTATAACACAGATTATATATAATTATTTAACAAATTATTTGAACTTGTTGCCATTTTCTCCATCTTAGTCATCATCATCGCTGTCGTCATCATCATCGCTGTCGTCATTGTCGTCATTATCGCTGTCGTCATCGTCGTCATCATCGTCATCATCTTCATCAATACATACAACAAGTTTCTCTGCTGTAACTGAGATGATATTGGGACCTGAAATGGATAATCAATCATTAGATCTGGTTGCAGTATTATATTCAACCGGCTTCGAACTATACAACCTCCTATTAGAGTTATTAGAAAACAGAACAATATAATCTAAAACAGACGAGCTTTATGCATTAGCCGTCCTTAATTTTGGACTGAAGGACTAGTGGAAAAACAGCTAATCATCAGAATCTACTGCTAAATCTTGGACTAGTCTAATCGAATAGAAAGATTCTACCATCACTCCTATAACGCACCCAGTTGAAATGTGAGCATCGCGACTTTTTGGCAACGGGATGAAAACCGTGCATCCTGTGATTCATAATCCTTCATGTTAACATTCTGCTACGCCAAGCCCAGTCGAAGGATAAGAACGATTTATACACCAAAATATTCACAGCGGACAATTTTCCAATTGTTGTTGTTGGCAGTAACTCCGATGGCTTATAACGCTAAATATCTGGTATCGATACCCGTAAAAGGCAGAACACAGATATTCAATTGTGTAGTTTGTGCTTAAGAAAAAAACGAAGAAACAAATAAATTCATTGCTGCTACAATTCGTCATCACTTCGTATCGTGTGGAGTTTCACAAGATGCCATTTTCTTGTTGTTGTTCGTTTGTTTACTTTTAAGCACTAAGCTAAGCAAGAGGCTATCTCTCCTCTACCAGCTGCAGGTATCGAAACCCGATTTTTAACATACAAGTCCACAAACCTTCCGCTGAAACATCGGGGACGATATAATTATTGAATCTTTTTTTTTCTTTTCATTTTAAAAAGGGTCAGTGATTTACACTCACCATTCTCACTATCGTCGCGTCAAACTCCTGAGCCCCCTGCAAGGAATTTAATTATCGTGTTTTATCAATAAATAAATTCTGCAAGAAAGGAAGACATCTGGGGACGTGGTGTTTACTAGCTACTTTTTTCTATAGTCAATGACTTGAAAATTACGGAGTTGTTTTTTTTGTATGTGTAAATATCCGTAACAAAAAATAAAACCAACTGTCTGTCCGGTATCACAAGTTCAATTCTCGTTTGGGAACTTTTTAAATTTTACCATTTAAACACCGCATCTAATATTTCAACTGTACGAAGGTGTAATTAGCAATATACTAGAAGAAAAATACGAAAGCGACTGTAATCATTCAAGTAGTATTGGTAACTTTGCTTCGGACGAACTGTTCGTAGTATATACTCAAAATAGAGGAAGGGGCGACCTATGCCCACTATTTATAACATTATTTTTAAAGTCTAAGAAGAATTGCTCTTAACG